ATGGCTAAATCTGTATTGTAAAATTCATTGAGGCAATAAACGCTTCCAAAGAAAATATCTTTTTAAATCTAATTTCGCTATGACTTGCCCAAAGTTGTATCTTTTATATTAAGATTAGCCCAACCATCTGAAGAGCAGGTGAAAGACTTTGATAAATCATATAATTTATTACAGTTAGACTTACAAGTATGTAGCTTTGCTACCTAAACTTCAAGTTCAAAGTTCAAGACATGAAGTTCAAAATTCAAAAACTTAAAATGCAAGTTCAAAAAGGCTTAGCTGAGTCTTTCCTAAAGTAGCAGCTGCAAAAACAAAAATGTAATTGTGTAAATTGACTGTTGCGTGTGGCATCTATGTGAATCATGTGTGAATAATCTTGAAGTTGGATTTTTAAGTTGAGATTTTCTAGATAAGTTGTGATGTTAGGCATAAAATAAGAAATTTTACAGACTCCTTCCTCGAGAACCTATCAGCTGGGAGGAGCTGTCATCCATTGCCTCACAGGACCTCCTGGATTCCACTCATTAAACTCTGTCAAGGTGACTTCAGAACAGGAAGTAATTTCTAAAGCTGCCGACCTTGTGAACAAAGAGTGCATTGATTGATTGTATTTTTGCGGTGATGTTTGACCTTCCCTAGCGCCTCTGCCAAAACCAAATTATTTTCTTGCCAATTACCAGGAAGGCCAGTTTTTACAAGATGCATAGGTTTCAAGGGTAGAATTTTTTTTTTTTTTTAATTTTTAAAACTTTAGTAAATTGGGAATGCCTTTGAAGGACTTCTGTGGTCCATCTTCCAGTCTTTGGATGCAGAGACTAGAAGCTTACTTTGCGTCTTAAAGTAATGTTGCACATGACATTTTGTAATGTGGGGCGACAGAGTGCGTTGCTGGGAGCGCGGTGCTCCAGGATCTGAGGGTTACCGTCTGGGGCCGGCTGAGCTGGGATCGGGGACTCTCAGTCCCACAGAGACCGTCCCGGGGGTGTCACAGATGGGGAAATTAACACAAGTCATCCCAAACACTTCTCTGTTTGCCAGGAGGGGGGACTTGGCACATTCCCCTAGTGGGGAAGGCCCAGAGTCCCTTTGTTCAAAGGCCTTTATTGAAAGGGTTATCAGTGGAGCTAGGTAACAGAACCGCACAGATTATCTCATTACATCAGTATGTTAATGTTCACAGGGAATGGGTGATGCTCTGAAGAAAACAAATGGCAGGAACACACTGATTTATATGGGTCTGAGAGGAAACTAGTAAACGCAAGAGTGTCTAAGAGTATAGGGTTAGGGTCGGTGAATAATGTAAATATCCTTCCCAGCATGAGCTGGCTATAGCTTCTGAGGGAAGAACAAAGCACACTTTAAAGAATTTACTTTTAGGCCTGATTTCCCTGGGAACCCCCAGATGTGGTTTAGGACTGACTCCAGCGTTGTTTCAAGCCTGAGCCAAGCTGTGGGGAGGGAGCCGCCAAGAGACAAGGAGATTTCTTTCGCGTAGAATGAGGACTCCGGCCATATCCAAGCTGAGACGTGGGGTGCAGGCCGTTTTGCCCTTTCTCCATGTCCCCCATTTCTGGTCTGCTAACCCCATTTCTTGTCTGCCTCCCATACCGATCAATGTCTGGCTTAGGTTGTTATCTTTGCATGAGATAACTTCCCGCCTAATCAACAAGCAGCCATCACAGGGCAAAGCAGAGAGGCAGAGCTCCGCCCCTGCCAAGGAGGACAGGTTTTGTCTCCTCAGCTGGCCTGTTTCTCCAAAGCCTCCCAGATTATTTCCACCCTTGGGGCCCTCCCACCTGTCGGCGGAGTTACAGTTCCTAAAACCAGACGGGGCGTTTCCCAACAGCATTTTTCTATCCCCAAGTTCCTTGTGAGAAAAAAGAATTACAGGTTTCATACTTGGGAGAAACTATAGTGATTATCTCGTCCTTCCAGTGTTGCAGCTTCTCCACAGCAACCCTGCGGGAGGTCACTCAGACTTACAGAGCTGTGGATCCTCAAAGGGAAGGGGGAAGGGGTGGGAATGGAGGGCAGAGATGGAGGGCGGCACTTGTTTAGTTTATTTTGCCTGCAATATGCCACCAATTTGGAAATTTACATAAATCCTCAAGGCCCTGTGGAACTTGTAGTGCCTTCACAACCCTAGTTATTACAGTAATATCCAATCAGAAACATGGTGGAGATCAGGATTTCTCAGCCTTGGCACTTCGCCCTTTGGAACCAGATAATGCTTGGGGGTAGAGAAGTGGTACTGCCTTGTGCATTGTAGACCTGTAGCATCTCTGACTCTACCCCTAGATGACAGTGACTCTCACCTCCCCACCCCCAACCCCCAGCCTTCATTAGATGACAAAAAAAGTCTCTAGTCGTTAACCAGACATCCCCAGTGAGAGGGTGGGAGTATGCAAAATCTCTAGTTGAGAACCAGTTTTCTAAATTAAGGATGTGTTTTACAAGATACAGAGTCCTAAGGAAATATCCAAATTATGTACTTTAGAAAAAAAGTAGTTAAAATCTTAACTTTTTTAAATCAAATAACCAGTTCCATGAATGACAGAATGTGAGTACAATTCTCTTGGGTTTTTTGTGCAATGGATGTGGAGCAAGTATTTCAGTCCATCTTGCCTTTTTTAGTGACTATGAAAACAAACTACTGCAATAGGTGCTTTAAAAAAAAATAGCAGTACTATTACATAGATTCCAAGACACACTCAGCTTTAAGATACACACAAATTTTTGTATCTGTTTAGTAGAACATATAGAAAAGTGCACATATATCACACATGTGCTGAATTACTGGGTTTTCACAAACTGAACACCATGTAACCAGCAACCAGATTAAGAAACAAGATTACCGGCACCCCAAAAGCTGTGACATTGACTGACTTTGCTCTAGCAGCACCAGCCTTGATCACGCCTCAACCATCCCCACTCCGTGGCCTGGCTGTTCCCCTCGCAGGGCTCTCTCTGACTTGCTCCCTCCTTCCATTCACGCCTGCAGATACATCCTCTTCGAAGAGCTTCCTCACCGCCCTAAATTACCCTCTACCACTCTGCTCCTGCTTCTGTTTTCTTTACAGCTCTTACTACAACGTATTTTTTGTCTATCTCCCCAACAACTAAGAACATTCTGTTAACTTACCATATTGTTGGAGCTCAGGAAATTGAAGGCATGAATGAATAAATCCAAATTTCAGAAATTTTAAAATGAAAGCCTTGGAACTGAGGATATACCATCATAATTCTATTTACTGAGTGCCTACTATGTGCCAGACATTTGCAATAAAGACACTTCCACATTATTTTAATTTGCATAATGACCATGCCAAGTGGGCCTATCAGGTGGCTTTCAGATATAAGTAACAAAAAGTGGATTAAATAAAAAGAATATTGAATATCCTAAGAAATGGATCAGAGATGGGGTGGCTCCATATCCAACCACTTAGTTAACTTAGAGATGTTAGAGTTTCAGTTTGGCTTCTCTGGCATTTTATGAGCTTTCTCCTCTTGGTCACAGATGGCTGTAGCCATTCCAAAAGGCACATCCTTGCTCAGCAAGTTCCAGAAGCGGGTGAAGAGGGGCTTTGCATATGCTTCTCTTCTCATCGGTGAAGATAATTTTTTCCAGAGTCTCCTGACATCTCATTGGCCGAAATTCTCTTACACATTGTTGTGGACTGAATGTTTGTGTTCCCACCAAATTCATATGCAGAAGCCTTAAATCCCAATTTGATAGTATTTGAAGGTGGGGCCCTTGGGAGGTAATTTGGTTTAGATGAGGTCAGGAAGTTTGGAATAATAGGTATGATAGGCATACAAAAGAAAGACAAAGATAAGACAGTCTTGTAATTTATGGTCTGAATGAGCACACTTTTGAGAATAAAAGGGTTGCTAACAGAGGACGTAGTACCTGCACCACAGGTGTTGTCCAGATTCTCTTGAGAAAGCATTAATATATGGTCACCCTAGAAACCAACACCAGCCCTGTGTAGGGAGCCGCTATGGAAGAGCATAGATGTGTGATGAATCCAATCAGCCACTGGGGCCCTCGTGAGCAATGTTGTACAGTGACAGAATCAAAGAGAATAATAGTTAAACATACAAAGTTGGGGCGCGGGGAGTGAGGCAGGAGTACTAGAAGGTCAAGAGAATGAGGGATCTCTGAGTCGCAGACAATATCTTGGAATGACTGGCAACAATGGAATACTAGCATTGTCCAATAGAGTTAGCTGCAGTGACGAATGTCTCTTCAGTGCCTTCAAGCCACTTACCTCATGTGGCTATTGAGCAAATGAATTTTTCATTACAAATTATTTGTCTAAATAACCACTTGCAGCTATCATATCAGAAAGTGGGCTAGTTTTATCTAAGCCAAGAGATAAGTGAAGCAAAAAAAGAGCAGGATAGGAGTTTATTGTACAGATTTTAGAGTAAACATAACTGTATTTAGTTCTGTGTAATGATGAAGTTCAAAATGTGACAGTGCTTGATAAGAACCAAAGAAAAGTATTGGTGGGACCAAGGACAGTGAAGAATGAAGTCTGAATATGGGTAGTCGCAAGGGACGACCCGCAAGGGACGATGGGAGATGGGGTGGGGGAGGGGTGTCTCACACTAAAGCCCTTGAGGAAAGGTAAGTGGGTTCCCCAAGAACATGAGATGAAAACCACAAGGTAAAGAAAAAAGCATCAGGGAATGGCTGAGATTTCAACAAGAGAGTTTTTTGGTGGTTGTTTTCAGATACTACTTGTGTTCCGAGTTTCCTGCAAAAGGCATTATGGATCAAAAAAGTGTAGATTCCTCTTATTAGGGCTGATCATGGCAGGGAGGCAAAGGGGAAAATTAAAGTTTGTTTCCTTTTGACAAAGGAGAATAGTAGTGGTTAAGCCTTTTGTTGTTGTTTTTAATGTTTGTAATATCTTTGGTTATTCATTGACAAAAAAATTTAAACTGAAGTGAGTGATAAATTGTATTTAACAATAAATAATTTTATTTTTCAGATCTGCTTTCACTTAGGAAATGCACTCCATTTAGAGGTAAGGAACCAAGGGGATCATTTCTGTCTTTTGGACTCAGCCGTAATTTCATGGAAGACAATTAGGCTGTGCCTCAGCCAGATTAAAAATGCACACTCCCTTAGACCCAGATCTTCCCACAGGAACATATATCAAGGGATCTTAATGCACCATTTTGGGGGCAGTCTGTTCATCAATAAAAGAATGATATAACAATTTATGGTACATGCAAGAATGTCTGTGATAAGGTACCAATTGAAAAATCAAGGGGCAGAATGAGAAGTGTAGTATATTCTGTTTTATAGGAAAAAAGACCTTTATACATGTACAACTGTATGGTCTTAAGAAAAGATCATAAAAGATATTCATTTGTCAAGTTGTTAACAGTAACTATGAAGTATGAAAATGTAAGTGGAAGTTTTACATTATAAACTTTAATATTATTTAATATTTTGTTACACAGTTTAATTTTTTAAGTTGTAGAATAATTGTTCAACTAAAAACAAAAAAATTCAATGATCTAATGATGACCAGTGTAAATATTTCTAAATAAAATACATGGTCTATAGAACTATAAAATGAGTAAAATGATAAACCTAGTAGAGTAATCATTTCTGATCTGAAGATACTAGACCAGTTGTTTTGAAACTTTCTTGGATAAAATATATATTACTTATTAAAACACAACTGAAACTTTATAAGATCATTTTCCACATAAAGTTTCTAAAAACTGAAGATGGACAATTTAATCCTTTGCCCCATCATTAAAACAATAAATTCATTAACTGAGACTTCACTAGTTCTAGTCAAATTGATGTCACTAAGGCACTAAGATTCAATCTTAAAACATTTAATAATTCATTTTAAAAATATGAGCCACCACAGAAATATTGAACTTCATTTTCAGTTAGTGGGGGGGGAAATTCTTATCTTAATTTTAATTTGCTCATTTGTATGGTCTCTAAATTATTCTTTAACTTTTAAACTCTTCACTCTGAGAAATCTTTTCTTACTAATAAAAATGGAACCCTACTGCTAGGCTGGTTTGGAAACAATCTGTTGAACGTCTATAGAATTTGCTAGAGTGTATACATTGCCTCTTTGAAAATGAAGCCTATTAAGAAATGTGAAATTAATACCTTGAAATTTGCACAGCTATCTTTAGAGTTTTAGTAAATCACAGGATACCATACTAATGTCTTAGGGTACGTAATAATTTTTATGGCAATATTTGTTGTAGGCCTTAAACTCAAGACACGAAAATAAGCTGCTTTCTAAACATACTCACTTAGTGCGGCAAAAGCGCGCCTGGATCACCGCCCCTGTGGCTCTTCGGGAAGGAGAGGATCTGTCCAAAAAGAATCCGATTGCCAAGGTACCTTCTAAACAGGAACAGAAAATACATGCGTATTGCTAAAATGCAGTGGTAGAAGACTTTTATGTTCTCTTTTAAATTTAAAGAAAATTTAAAAATAAATTTTTAAAAATATATATACACACGCACGCACGCACACAGGGTCTGGCATAAAGAAGGCCCCTTTTTAATTAGAAAATCATAAGCATGTAATTCTGTAACATAACAATATCACACTCAAGCACATCATACAACATTTTAGGTGAAAAGCTCAAGTTGCTGTCCATCTCATGTGAGAAATTCACATACCCTACCGACCACACTCAAGCAAGCTTACTTCTGCCAGACCCTGTGTATTGCAGATGTATTTGAAAACTAGCAAAGCTTACTTTTTAGCAGAAACTTCCAACTATAAGATCCTCTCTCTCTCATTTTGGAAAATGCAACATCATTGGCGAAGATACATATAATCCAGGGCTTTGATTCAGCTAAGAGTTAAGGGATCTAGCACCAATTGAATCTTTGTGTAACAAAGTATTACAATAACCAAAAGAAGATGATACCTATGTAGGGGACAGAAAATTCTTTTTCCTACTACCTTCCTATGTTCTCTGACGGGGGCCCTGTTGAACTGACAAAAGTAAGATTAACAAGAGAAGAAAAAGGTTTAGTAACGCATATATTGCACGTAACCCGTGGGAGTATCCAGAGATAAGTAACTCAAAGGTTTGGTTAGAATTAGGGGTCATATAGCATCTTAGGAAAGGAACAATAAATTTTTAGAGAAGTGACATGCAAAGAAAAAGGACCTTGAGTTTGTAGAGGCAGCAAACTGTGGAAAGGCAATGATATGGCAAACTAATGGTAGAAAAAGGTTAATTAGAAAAGTTTGTTACGTGGATTTCTTGTACCATCTCCAAACTGATAAGGGTCTGAAGTTGTTGGTGATGATTAACCTTTTTGACTTTGGTGGAGAGGGGAGAAAGATCGCCTTTACAGATTTATGTGCTGCTTTTAGGCAAATAGGAGGAAGGCAGAGGGCCTTTTTTTAATATCTGCTGCTTCTCAGTTGCCTTCGCCTCAAAATAAGCCTACACCAAAGTGGCATATTTTGATGTGGCGTATTCTGCCACCCTACACACAAAAAGTAATTTTCAAAATGAAAAGAACTGATACATAATAGATAAGGTGACCAGATATCCTACTTGACATTGTATTGATTTATGCCCATTGTCCTGGCCTAATAACTAATAGTTGTTTCTTCACTCTCAAAGGGTCCTATTTTTGATCAATTATATGGCAGTATCTCGTGTGCAAACCTGAAGCCTTGATTTTTCCGATGAAGGCGTTCTGTGTAAATTCTACCCATTTCAGTAAATGCACTACAGTTCCATCCCATTTTTCAAATATATAGCAAGCATCAGTTTTACCCCCAAAATATGTTACAGATCTGCCAGTTTCCCTCCACTGCCGCCCGCTAATCAAGTCAGTGTCATCTCTGACCTGTGTTAGCAAGAGTCCTGACCTTGTGTCCCTGCTCTCACTCTTGCCACCCCCACCCTGCCATAGATCACTCTCCCAAAAGCAGCCAGAGTGGTCATTTGAAAAGATAAATGAAAGCATGTTCACCCCCTTAAGTGAGGCCCTTGAAACAGCTTCCTGCTGCAGTGGAAGGAGTAAGCTCTTTCTCCCAGCCCACAGAGCACGTGGGCTTTATTGGCCTTGACCTCTGCCCCATCAGCCCTCATCTGCCGCTCTGCCACATCCCTTACTGATGTAAGCTCATTCCAGCCCTCCCGCTTTGCCCTGACGGCTCCCTCCGCTTCGAATCCGCTCCCCGCAGATATGTGCCGGGTCTCTGTGCACCTAGCCTCTGTCCCAGTGTCACCTCCTAAGAGTTCCCTTCCCGACCTCACCCCATCTCTCTGTCCCATCACTGTGTCAGCTTGGTTTGTGGCACAGTCAGCCATAGCCAAGTTTTACTTCATCTTTTCAATGTTATGAATGTCATACATGAGGAGTTCCCTCAAAGAAAGAGCAGCAACATAGCCAAAAGACAACCATTTCCATTTTCCAGCAGCATATTGTTTTCATAAAAGCCTTCTGAAATCCAGATTTTTAATTATGGCTTTACATAATAGTATGTATATAAGCAGTGAAGTTTTTGTTTTGGTTTGGTTTCCTGAGATATCTGAGTCATTTGCACATTCTGTCACTAGGTTTTGCTAAAATACAATGATTCTTTGAGGTTTAATATGCAATAACTCTTCTTACTAATTTTAGTTACACAAATTATTGAGTAAAATTTACATAAAAAGGAAAAATCCTGTTAAATTTCCCTAAATTTCTAAATTCTCTATGTAAAGGTAATATTGTCAACAGTTTAGTATCTTCTAGATCTTAGGAAATTCATAGGAATATGATTACTTACATACACTTGCATGCATATGTATATACAAACCAACAGTTATGCTTACGTAGTTTTATTTTTTAACATGAGTGGAATTATACAGTACATATAATCAGTACATAAAGATCTAGAATATTTATAAATAATTTGTGTGTGTGTGTGTGTGTGTGTGCGCTTGGCAAAAAAAAGAGAAACAGAAGCACAAAGATAGAGAAAGACAACCAGATTATGGACAGAAAACAGAAGCTCAGTGAAAAGCACCCTTGCAACTGTTCCAGTTCACCTTTTCACTCTGGGAGCAGAGCTGGTGTAGGTTATAAACTCCATCTGCCACTCCCTTGGTTATTCTCAGCAGCGACCTCCCAGCCCCAGTGCATGCTGGGAAACCTATGGGCAGAAAGTGTAATTCCAAAGTTGCGGGATGAAGAATTGACAAGGCAGGTCGGTGGTGATGGGTTCAGTGATGTCTGAAGGAGGAAAAGAAGGAACCAACTTCCTCCTATGGAAGTATGGCTTCTTACTTTTCAGAGGATCAAGTGGATTTATGAAGGGTTTTTTTTCACCTTCTTCAATTTTTACTTCTGTGCTAAATTTAAAATCTACCCCCCCCCCAGGTGTACGCCTAAGAATATCTTAACTTTACAACAACCTACGAAGTAGGCAGTAGGACCTCCACTTCACAGATAAGAACACTGAGGCACAGAGAGCTTGAGGAACTGCCTTGTGTCATCTAACTAGTGAGTGGCTGAGATGGGATTAGAACCAAGGTTTTCCGATACCAGCACATCCGCTCTTAAGCGCTTGTGTTCTCCCACCTCCCTCCTATCAACATGACAACTTCGGAAAGAAATTCTGTTTTTAAAATATCAACATGTTAGTTATAGACAGTTTAACTTGAGCTGTTCCTGTTATTTCTATGTTAGATACATTCTGATATTGCAGAAGAGAAAGGAATAAAAATTACATACAAATACACTGGAAAAGGGATCACAGAGCCACCTTTTGGTATATTTGCCTTTAATAAAGACACCGGAGAATTGAATGTCACCAGCATTCTTGACCGAGAAGAAACACCATTTTTTCTGGTAAGAAGAATTTTATATTTATTTAGTGTATAGTTTTTCTTTGGGTAACGGTCATGATTGTCTAGCTAGTTTTTGATATTATGGTCGTTTAATTACCATAGCTTAAATCTAATCTCTTCTATTATTTATGCCATGATTTCAGCTAACTGGTTATGCTTTGGATGAAAAAGGAAACAATCTAGAGAAACCATTAGAACTCCGCATTAAAGTTCTTGATATCAATGACAACGAGCCAGTGTTCACGCAGGATGTCTTCGTTGGGTCCATTGAGGAACTGAGTGCAGCAAGTAAGAGTCTACTGTTTTTATAAATGAGTAACCAAAGTCATTTAACCTCATTGTGTAACTGAACACGAAATCCTGCATCTTAGTGGAGGCTAAGTGTTAACCACAGGACATAAAAACCTATTGCTCCAGGTTTGGAATTTTTTGTGTGTACCATAAGTGCAAAAGAATTTACTTGACTTTTTTTTTTTTTTTTTTTTAACCCTCAGAACAGTTATGGTGACCAGCTGGCTTTGGCCCACCGACAGTAGTTGGCTGACCTTTGACTTATATTATTTCCCCTGTCAGGTTCAGTGACAATGTTGAATGCAGTGTTCTTCATGAACGCTAGCAGGAGAGATTTCTCTTTGATCATAGTGTAAAGAATAGCTGTGCTTCTGCTAAATTGTTGGAATTTTAATAAGCATCTTGTTGTAGCTGTTCCTTCTTCTTTCTCTGTATTCATTATTTTAATCATTATAAATAAGTCTGTGGCCTTCCTGTAGCAAATGTTCAGGGCTTCACCCTGACGTTGTATTAACCTTGGCCCTGGCCTCATCTTGTTTTTCCTACCCCTATAATCCACTCGCACTCATTTCCTTGTCCAATTCAATTTTTTAAATCTTGGTAATAAACTGATTTCGATAAGCACCTGAAATCCTTTTTGGCACAAGCTGGAATAATACGTAAAATAACATAAGAGTTTCATTTGGATACCTTTGTTTCTAATGCCAGATAAACTAGTGATGAAAATCACCGCGACAGATGCAGATGATCCCAGTTCTCTGAATTCTAAAATTTCCTACAGAATCGTATCTCAGGAGCCTGCTTATTCTCCCGTGTTCTACCTAAATAAAGATACAGGAGAGATTTATACAACCAGTATTGCCTTGGACAGAGAGGTAAATAATATTTTATGTTGCTCATCTTTTAAACTCTCCTTTCGTCTTTCAGGTTGTCCTCTATATTTCTTTTGCAGGTTTCCTACTTTGTTATGTATTTCTCATTCGTAAGCTAACTCTTGGAATTATCCCCTTACAGGGATGGACTGTCCGCTATGGTAGCCACTAGTCGTATGTGGCCATCGAACACTTAAAATGTGACTAGTCCAAACTGAGATGTGCTATAAGTGTAAAATCTAGCAGATTTGGAAGGCTTAGTATGAAAAAAAAGAACATAAAGTACCATCTTAATAATTTTTTTGTTGATTATATGTTGAAATAATAATATTTGGGATACCGTGGGTTAAAATATTTTTAAAATTAACATCACTGATTGTTTTGTACTTTTTTAAATGTGGCTGCTAGAGAACTTAAAATTCTTTGAGGACAGCACTGTGGTAGGGCCTCTCTGGTCGGGACTTAGTCCACTAGAGTGCTCCAGATCCATGCTCCTTAATTTGTGGTTCTGTAGTGAAACACCAGGAGCCTCTTCTACAAGTAATAGACATACAGAGTAATAGATATACAAAACGACAGAGGAAGGCAGAAAGGTACAAATAGCGGCCCTATTTGGGTAATAGGACTCTTTGTAAAGGGAAGAATTATTGTGAATCCCAAATTAGAGGAAAATTTGAGCAGGTTTCCTAGCCGGGCTGTCCAACCTTTTGGCATCTCTGGGCCTCACTGGAAGAAGAGTTTTCTTGGGTCACACGTTAAATACATTATGACACATAATCACAGAAAAAGAAAAATCTCATAATGCTTTATATAAATTTACAATTTTGTGTTGGGCCACAGTCACAGCCATCCTGGGCCACAGGTTGGACACTGGTGCTTAAAGGCAATTCTGTCAAACATTTCACATTTTTATTTCTAACTCAAAGGGAAAATTTTAGAAGTAAAAGGAAGATAGAAGATTTTAGAAATGCTACATACATGATTCTAACAAATGTGCCTGAGTAAAATGTTGATGGTGGCGAGAACACTGTGTTGTCATCAAACATAAATCATCATCCAAGTACAGTCAGTATATTTTGTATTACTTGGAAAAATGATTTCACTCTGCCCAGAGCGAGGGAGAGAGTGTGCCCAACTTTACTGTCAAGCTCTTTGTAAAATTAAAGAATTTTATTGCTCTTAAAATTCTACTCTACCTTTTCACATGAAATTGAATGGAAAAAGTATTATTTTGAAGTCATGTGATTTTTTTTTCTCCATAGGCTGCTGTTTCTGAAATATGGAAAGTAGTAATGGCTGTCACTTATTGGGCATTTCCATAGATTAACCCATTTCATCCACCAAGAAACCCTGTGAGGCAGGTCCATATATTATTCTTATTTTATGCAGAAGGAAGCCAAGGGTCAAAGGGATTAAGTGTATCCAACACAGCTAGTAGGTGACAGAGCCAGAACTGGAGCCTGGGCAGCTGACCCCAGAGCCTCTGCCGTCCTGCCTTTCCCTGAGTAGCTCCGCCCCACACAGCAGCCCCATCTCTGGCTTGGCAGGTCTGCTCTTCCTTAAACTCCACCCCGCCACATGGAATGAGGACCCATAAGGGGACCACGTGGAAGAGAAGGGTTCCCTTTGTCCTAGCATCTGAGATGTCGTTCTCTACGGCATCTTCTTTAAGAATCATTTCTCTCCGGAGGTCTGGACGAAGGTCCCAAGTTTTGCCTTTACTGGCCAAGTTTCCTTGGGGACAAGGCTTTCTTGGCTTACGTATGAGCTGAAAATGAAGTATAAGGCAAAAAGAACCAATTCCTGTGGCCCTACCATCACTTCCAAGGTGGAGCAAACTACAGTTTGAACAGCACTCTTGTGCACAGACTGTTCTAAGGAGAGGCTCATCTCCTGATGACATCACTAATGACTATTTAAGAATTGGACTAATATCACCAATGACATATTCAAGAATTTGACTATCAGCAACTTTTCCAGGCTTTTCTGCCCTTCTAGAAAGCTCTGAGAGCAAATAAACATCTTTGCACAAATAATAGCAGATCATGAAACTTATTTATGAATAAAGTATACTGTGGTTTATTTCCTTAATGATAAAGTGAACTAAAGTGAACAGAAAGACAGATTTGGGAGTGATTCATTTTCACCCCAGTTGGATATTTTTCATTGCTCTGCAGAAACACAGCAGCTATACTTTGACAGTGGAAGCAAGAGATGGCAATGGACAGATAACAGCTAAACCGGCAAAACAGGCTCAAGTTCAGATTCATATTTTGGATGTCAATGACAATTTACCTGAAGTGAGAAGTGAAATGGTAACTATTATTTTTATGACCAGTTTATCTACTTCCTCATATTTTAGTTCTACCTAAATATATATCACTTATATTTGTGTTACATTAAAATAAATATCCTGTGTTCATGTTTTGCAGCATGAAGTGATGGTTGAAGAAAATCGAGCCAATGTAGAAGTTATGCGCATAAAAGTGTTTGATGCAGATGAAATAGGCTCTGATAACTGGTTAGCAAATTTTACATTTGCATCAGGGAATGAAATGGGTTATTTGCGCATAGAAACTGATACTCTAACTAATGAAGGAATTGTGACCCTTATTAAGGTAAGTACTTGGTGTTCAAGAATGGGAGAAGTTGTGCAGAGAAGGATACTGCCATATTTTGGGCCCCAAACACTTGTAAATGTTTTATATACTCAATTAACTGGCACAATTTTTTGAGATGGGCTATTAGCCCAAGTCTATAATGAGTATGTGGTCACAATACAGTTTAAATTCAAATCATGTGGGACGCTAACCCTAATCAGATAGCATGATGCCAGCATCATTCCTGCTCAGCGCACTTCCAGTCTTGCTTGCAGCCTGTGCCTCACTGTAATATTCCTATGCCATGACCTTTTGCCTCGACTCAGTGTCTCCTAACCTACTATTTCTTACTTGATTGACTTAACAATAAAGCCAAGTCTTACTAATAATGTCTAAACACAAAAGCTATATTGACTTGATAAAGCTCTAAACCAGTTGTCCTAATACTTAAGAGTGCCTAGGAATTGCTTAGTAAAGCTACATGCCCAAAGTGCAGATTCCTAGGTCCCATCATCAATACAGTGATTGGGTGGGGCTCAGGAACTTGCCCTTGTAACAAAAATCTACTTGTGATTCTAATATAAGTAGTATGAGGGTCACATTTTGAAACATAATGTTCTAACCTCATGTGCTTAATTGAATCAGTGAACGAAAAATTAAATAGTCTATTAAGCATACAGGTCTTCTACATTTGAAACTCATTACCCACACAGAATGTTTTTAAACAAATTACAGGGTATATTTTTATCTAACAGTGAGTAAGGAAGAATATCGATGTATTTTTAAATGGTTTATGACAGAATTGCTTTATCAGATTTTGGAATAAAATGCTAAGCTACAGCTTTCAAAATACTAATATTTCATGAATCACACACTGACAAAAGTTGATTAAAGAAATTTCCAAATTGTTACAAAAACTTAATAAATGGCATAGTAGAAAAAGATCTAACAGTGGGAAAAGGAATAAGAGTAATATAAGTATATGAGAGAATAGAGAAAAATTAACCTGAAGTTTCTTGGTAATAATTATGGGCACCATTTATCAATAGGCTACTATATGCATATAGAGCATTTAGAGCAGAGGGAAATAGAATTAGAGTACCTCATGTTTAAAGGGAACACACCCGTTATAATTATTAAAGAAATGGATAGTGGCATCAGAGATGAAATCTATCTGCTTGTATAGAAGTAAGCATACTTTCAGTCATCAGTCATAGGTGCAACCATGTTAGGTGCCTGAGATAAAAAGCCTGTAACACACAAAGAAAAACAGTCACTTCGTGAAAAGATAGAAGTGTTGACGTATTATCAGTGTACCGTGGCAGCACAAAAAAGGACATATTTTTTTCTACCTAAGGGGACATGGACCAGAAAAAAAAAAAGAACAGTAAAATTAGGTCTTTGGCTAGTGTGGTTCAGTTGGCTGGGCATTGTCCCACAAACCGAAAGGTCACACAGGCTTGATCCCAGTCAGGGCACATGCCTGCATTGCAGGTTTGGTCCCCAGTTGAGATGCATACAGAAAGCAGCCATTCAACATTTCTCTCTCACACCAATATTCCTCTCCTTTTCTTTCTCATTCCCTCCCCCTGTCTCTAAAATCAAAAATAAAAATTAAAAAGAAAGTAAAATTAGCATAAAACAGCAGCCACAGATTGAGAACATTTCAGATTTACTGTCTCAGTTGTATAAAGAACTTCTTCCAAATTATAAGGGCAATAATCAGATCCCATCAAAAAGTTAGACAAAGAAGATATACACATAGCTAATATAGATATAAAAAGATACTCAACATGATTAGTCATTTTAAAAAAAAATTGAAAATTAGCCCTAACTGGTGTGGCTCAGTGGACTGAGCACCAGCCTGCAAACCAAAGGGCCGCCAGTTCGATTCCCAGTGTAGGGCACATACCTAGGTTACAGGCCAGGTCCCCAGTAGGGGACTTGCAAGAGGCCACCACACATTAATGTTTCTCCCTCTCTTCCTCCCTTCCTCTCTCTGTGAAAATAAATAAATAAAATACTTTTTAGAAAAAGAATGGCTCTAATCAAAAAGATTGACAACACCAAGTATCAGCAAGACTATGGAGAATCTAGAATTCTTATATATTGCTCATGGAAACAAAATGGTATAGTTAGAGTGGCAGTTTTTAAAATATTAAACGTAGAGTAGATAGGGACCAAACGATTTAGTACTAGGTACCCACCCAAGAAAACAAAAACTCATATGCAGATGTTCATAGTAGCTCTAATTTTTAATAGTCAAAAACTGGTAACAATCCAATGTCCATCAACTGATGACTTATAGAAATAAAATGTTGTATATCCATACAATGGAATACTGTTGAACAATAAAAAGGAATGAAGTATTGATACATACTACAACATGGATGAACTGCAGAAACATTTTGTGTAAAAAGCCCGACCAAAATGCTGCATATAGTATGATTTTGTTTATGCCAAATTTCTAGAAAAGGCGAAACAGTAGATAGGGCTGGGGTTGTTAGTGGTGATCGATTGCAAACAGGCACAAAGGAACTTTTGGCGGTGAGGGAAGTATTCTAAAACTGGAAAATAGTGATGTTTGCAAAACCATATAGGTTTACTAAAAATCATCATGCCGTACAATTTACATGGAGAAATTTCATTGTAGGCAAATTATACTTCAATGAAATTGTCCAAAAAAAAGATAAAGGAGAATAGATACTTTGAGCTGTGGAAATAGAGATAGTAAATCATCACATGAAAAATAACCTCAGCTGTGTTAACAAATGAGTTTAAAATCTTTACTACTACTAACAATGGCAAAATGGAAATTATAAATGACATTGGCAGTTATAAAAAATAGCAATATATGCCCTTATACATTGTTCTTGATGCTGAAAATTCTCCCACTCTTTTTGGTTCATTATGGCTGTGTATAGGAAACACTGTGAAACAGTTTTCGTTGCCCCTGTACCTAGCTCATTTATTTTTAAGGTTGTCATGGCCTTCCATGGTCTTTGAATACTAATGACATTTGTCTGGAAGATTTAATTTCTCATTCAGCATACATGATGCCATCAAAAACCAAGTATGCTAAGAAAAAGAGCAACCTAAAAAAAACAAAAAAAAAATCTTTCACAAGGACTACAATCACATAGAGTGTGTTCTTTGGTCATTTTCTGTTGTGTTCTTGTCCCAACACCGTAGTGATCCATATGATAAAGGGAGTGGGGGAAGTTATTACCCATCTAGAACACTACTGAGAGGAAAACAAATTTCATAATAAATCCTCCAAAAACAAAAGTGAACAACTTTACTGCAATCCATGTAAACACATGAATTTAATGTACTGGAGAAAAAAGCGGTAAGTCAGAGCATCTAAATGGTCAGGGCTACTACCAGTAAGAAGTAACAGGACTGAATAAACTTACCTTTTTAGTAGGAAGGTACAGCTCAACAGAAGAAAAACAATTTGTATAAAAATGTTCAGAGCACTATAAATTAAATTACATATAGCCTAAATGCCTAACAATAGAATGACTAAGTATATCTAAGTAATAGAAAACTGTAGAAATAGTTTTAAAAAGAAAATAAACAAATTGGAGCATAAAACCCGTATGCAGTGCCCAACTGATTATACAAAATATACTTTATACCACAACTCACAAAGAGCAGTGTTCGGAGGAAGGTCCATCCTTCATTGGCCTAATAGCAAAGCAGATATCAATAGACGTTATGCTAAAAAGGAGGAGGGTAGGTTCTTTGTTAAAACACATGTGGAAACCTGTGGGTTTGACCGTTAGAAAGTGTCCTTCCTCCAGAAGGCTTCGGATTTTCGATACGCTGGCGTGCAGTGAATGGCGGGGGGGCGGGGTGAGAGTGCCACCGCTGTTTATGTAGCCCTTTCCCCAGAACAAACCCACACATCTTAAGGAATATTAACTTCCATTAAATACCCATTAACTTGTTTTCATTAAGAAATCTCTTGAAGTTAAAAAATGTTTTTTCAATGATTTTGACCGTTAAAAAATAATTTGGGGTGTTTATAATCACCTTTAACAGTTATGAATATCAAATTGACAGACTTTTTAATTGCATGTTACTGTTACCAATGAGTTGGAATGCTCGGTGCTGCTCTATTCCCCATCTGTTCAATTGTTACATCTAACATTAAAGACGTGTGTATGCATGTGTGTATGTTCTATGTGTGTTCTAGTTGATTTCTCTTTTAAAAGAGTTGCCTTTCACTTTTCCTTCCAGGAATTAGATTATGAAGAAATGAAGCACCTTGACTTCAGTGTTATTGTCACTAATAAAGCACCTTTTCACAAATCAGTTAAGAATAAATATAAGCCAACGCCCATTCCCATCAAAGTCAAGGTGAAGGATGTGAAAGAAGGCATTCTTTTTAAAAGCAGCACCATCACAGTTCGTGCTAGCGAGAGCATGGATAGATCAAGCCAAGGCACCATAATCGGAAAATTTCAAGTTTTTGACGAAGACACTGGACAATCAGCCCATGTAAAGTAAGAGACAATGACCATATTTCCTCATTGTAAATTATTTTTAAATGCCTGTTTTCAAAAATTCCGCATGAAATGTGAACATTTCACTTCTTTTCTCCCAGCATTGTGCTCCCCTCAAGGTCTGTAGAGTACATCTCTACAGACCCCGTTCCCTCCACCTCGGAGGCGTGAGGCTGGCTTCCTCACCTCAAAAAGCCCTGGCTGGCCACGGCTGAAAAATCTTCTCAGATCTGTTTTATTTCTTGAAAGAGTATTGATGGTAAGAAAGGAGCAAATTTTATTGCAAGTTCCACCTGATACCAGTTTGGTTGAAAGAAATAGTTGCCTAATGTATTTCAGTATGGAGAAACCAGTTTCATTTGCACGTACTTCTTGGAAATAACTCCCCATTTAAACCATGCTATTTAGTTCAGGGACTGATGAACCTTTTATGTTTGTCTTGGTTGTGGTGACCTTTACGCAGACACAGGTATTGAGGACCTACTAGACGCCACCCCTGTGCTGAAAGGGACTGGGCTGTGACACCTCAGTTTAAATTTTCTAAGTAAATTCACATCTTAGATTACAGAGCCATGCCATGGAAAGACAACTCCACAGATGTATTACTTCTGGAACTCAGTTACAGTTATTCCAGCTGAATTTAAAGAAGCTCTGCCTGCCACCCAGATGCACAGAATTGTTTGGTTGCTTAACTGTCCTTGCGCCTGTGTAAGGACACTTACTATAGTGTCCCCGAGTGCCAACACTTTACATGTGCGGTCCACCATAGCAAGAATAGGAATGGGAACGTGAAGAAGCTTTTCAGCAATCTCTTGCCTTTCAGTGACTCTTCTTTTAATGGAATTCATCATCCAATAGTAGCAAATAGGCTTTTTCCAAAACAATATTAACAAACAGTCTCTACTGTGTTTTCTGCCATGTTTTGGTGACCTTTTTTGGCCACCACCCCTGCAGGAACCAACCCCACTTCTTTTGAGTTTTGTGTCCAGTTTTTATTTCCGCGGCTCTAACCCTAGCAAAGCAGCCCCTCACTGAATCCGCAGCACTGAGGGTGGATCTCCAGATGGTTCTTTCTCACCGCTGTCCACTGCAAGGCTTATCTGTTCTCATTACTTATCCTACAGTAATACTGTGGCTGTTTATTGAATGAATTTCTATTTCCTGCCTCACTATTTAATTTTGGGTGCTATTTTTATTACGAGTCATAAATATACCAAAAGTTATGTTCTGCCTGGAAAAATAATGAACCACGTTTCTCTATCTCTTTTATTCTTTAGCATGCCATTACAGAACCTTAGAGTGAGAAAGACCTTAAAGAGCAAGTCCAACCTACTGTTGTACAGATAAGGAATGGGATGCCCAGCCAAGTTAAATAATTTTCTGATGTTGGTTGCTATTTAGAAATGCTGGCAACGAGAGCAGAAGAATTATTTCCTTTGTCATAATTTGCTGTTTTAGCGACATTCCTATGCATCCGTTGTTTATTGATATTTGGCATAGCACGTGAGCTGCCATCTTACTTTGAATGGCATCTAATTTTTATCATAAAGAAAAGCAGAAACTTCCTTGAATGAGGCCACATGTGAAATGCGATCCCTATTACTGAGACTCTGCCTTTATTGTTACAAGTACGAATGTGGGAACCCCTGACAGCAACAAAGTCCAGGCTTCCCAATACCAAACGTGAAATTCAGAAATACTCCTGGAAATCCAAAAGTATTATCATTTACTGGTAGAATGTTAAAAGGCAGAAAATTTAGTTAAAGTGTACAATTGGAATTTTTTAAATAGTACTATAAACAAATACTGCTATAAACCAGCCACTCATTCTTATGTGCCTGAACAGCCACTTAACAAAAAAAAAATTAGCTGGTGAAATGAACCAAATAGTCATATGTTTGGTTTATGTTTGGATTTGGTTATATTTAAACTCGGTGGTATTAAATTACATACATTTCGGAAGACATAATGTGAATATTCTTCTTGCCTTTACCGAACATAACTCCTTCCACACCAACCCTCCTTGCTTTAAGGCAAGAAACCCAGAAATCACTTCTTCAGCATTGTTTTTACTTTTAACCATCTCTAACTGAATGAAGCCTATTGCTCTTAATAATCAACATTATTCCAAAATGTTATAGTCCTTCCATTTTAAGGCAGTCATTGATTTTTAAAATTGATATTTTAAAATATCAATAACATGCCAGTAAACAATAGAATGCAAGACTACTTTCATCCACCAATTCTTGAAGGGTAACCAAGCTATTCTCCAAAGGCTTACCCCTACTTTAAGGGGTAGTGACAGACTGCAGAGCAACTTGCAACACCCCCGGTATAGCAGGCAAGGGATGGTCTCCCTTGTGCGTATGCTTGAGTATGTTACAGGATTAAGAGGGTTCCCAGAGATAAATGTGATATGCAGTAAAGGGAAGGGGTTTTAGTCTAGTTTCAAGAAATTAAAAACATTCCACACTAACACTTGAAACAGGAACATATATAAAGAAGCAAAAGTTAAATTTGAAAAACTTGTAGGTGTTAAGAGATTCATTTATCCAGAATTCAAAATTAATTTTACGTTTGTTTTGTAACAGATATGTCAAAGTGGAAGATAAAGACAATTGGGTCTCTGTGGATCCTATCACATCTGAAATCAAACTTGTAAAAATTCCTGATTTTGAATCCACATATGTCCAGAATGGTACATACACTGTAAAGGTTTTAGCTATTTCAGAAGGTAAGTTATTAAATAGATATTTTTCTTGACTATATATATTTTGATGTTATTGTCCAACATCAAAGATCTTCCTTTTGATCTTACAGAAAAACCAAATCTGTCCAATGGATAAACCCTCACATTGCTATTTATTTAATGCATTGCAAGACATTACTTGATCTGAATATGAAAACATCTAGGATAGGATGTGTCCTAATTTGTTAGTGCCCTTCTCCACACTCCAATGGCAAGAGAATTCAAACTGTTTGCTCTCAGCAATATAACCAGAATATAAATAGTTTTCCTTTCTTGTCTTTAAGATTCTTCTAGAAAAACCATCACTGGCACTGTTGTTATCAGCGTTGAAGATATCAATGACAATTGTCCCACACTGGTAAACCCAGTGCAGAATATCTGCGAGGACCAGGAGTATGTGAATGTGACTGCAAAGGACCTGGATGGATACCCATACAGCGACCCTTTGACTTTCATTGTCGTTGACAGTCCCCCTGGAATGGCAGAAAAATGGAAAATAGTACGCAGAGAAAGTAAGCAAAGTCATTGGACTACATATTTAAATATTAAACATGACACATCTAAAAGCTTTATAATACAGACTCTTTCTTATATTTTCAATACAATTTTTCAAAGGGGTTTATAAAATGAGGTTTTGAACCTTGGGCATAGCGTCTTTTATCTGGCTATAATAAGTACCCCATTTGGAGCAACAAAAGAGAGAGAGAAGAAAACTTATTATCTTAAAGATAGCTGGGTGTTCTCTAAATTGCTCTTGAAGTTGTTTTTGTCTCATAAGCTGGGGAGTACCTTGCCTGTCCAGGAAAACAATCACAGTAGGTGCCTTCTAAAAAAATTTTGAAGTATGGTGACAATTTCATTGAAAATGACATTTACTGCCGTGGCTGGTGTGGTTCAGTGGATTGAGTGACTGCCTATGAACCAAAAGGTCACCAGTTCAATTCCCAGTCCGGGCACATGCCTGAGTTGTGGGCCAGGTCCCTGGTTGGGGACATGTGAGAGGCAGCCAGTCAAGAGGAACTGATGGTTCTATCTCTCCCTCTCTTTCCCCCTCCCTTCCCCTCTGTCTAAAAGTAAATAAATAAAATCTTAAAAAGTAAATTTTTTTAATCACATTTATTGATCACTTATCATGTACCAGGCACTCTGCTGGCCCTTCATATGCATTATCTCGTTTAATCCTTAACTCATAACATTATTCCCTCATTATTGCTGAGGAAACCTTGACTTAACTAGAGCTAAGTAGCTTATTCAAGGTCATAAGCTGGTGAGTGATAGATACGACATTAAGAAGGGTCTCTCTGGTCCTGGCTGGTGTGGCTCAGTGGATTGAGGGCCAGCCTGCGAACCAAAAGGTCACTGGTTCGATTCCCAGTCAGGGCACATGCCTGGGTTGCAGGCCAGGTCGCCACGTGAGAGGCAACCACACACTGATGTTCCTATCCCTCTCCTTATCCCTCCCTTCCCCTCTCTCCAAAAATAAATACATACAAAATTTAAAAAAAAAAAAAGAAGAAGAAGAAGAAGAAGGGTCTGTCTGAGCCCTCTATGCCAGATGTCCATGTGCATATATCCATATTGTGGACGTATCTACCATCTTAATGTGAACTTTTGGGTGCCCTTTCAGGTAGTTTTGAATGTACAACACCTATCCAGAAGGCTGTTTTTTAAATAAACAATTAGTGTTCATCTCTGAAAAGTTTCAAATATAATACCCCACTTTTTTTTTAATTTATGGGTTTATTGTTATTTTAGGTCTAATGAATTTTTACCATCACTATAAATGGCTTTCAATAATGTTAAAGCTGTGATGAGTACCATGGGGATTAATTATTCTCTTCTCTCTATTTTTGTCTGTTTAAGTCTCTTGAACAAATTTTTTTAAGAAATGATAAAATGAAAGTCATTCAGTGGAAATGTCATTTAACTTGCTACTTGTTTGTCACTATATTCCCAGTACATAAAACAGTTCCTAGATTTTGGCAAACCACACACATTTGTTAAGATTAATCACCGTAAAAGTAAGACATGTCCAAATCCTATCCTGTGCTATTGACCCGCACAATTGGAACGTCTAGATTAATTTTATCCAGCACATGGGATGCATTCAGTGGAGCAGTTAAGCAGCGTTCAACCGGCGCCGGTGGACTGGGCGCCACGAGCATCCTGTTCAGGTGCCCCGTGGTGCGGGGGCTGTTGCGAGGCCCCGCAGGTCTCAGTTCCCTCCCTGCTCATGCACCCTGGCTCTGAAGGGCCCTCCTGGACCCCGAAGTGGACCCTGGGGGCTGTGAAGCCAGATCGGGTGCAGAGGCAGCTTGCTGGGGATGTGATCTGGCATTTTGGGGGGAGGGGCTTCAAACTGGAGGGAGTGACGATGCTTCAGGTCTGGGAAGGTCCCAATATGGTTGGCACGTCAAGCACCATGTAGGACACACGGAATTAGCTGAGGCTGCCCTGGGCACCATTCAAGGAGACTTCAGCCCCCACATCAGTAGGAACATCATCCCTGCCTGCAACTCCGTGTAGGGAGCCCACAGGGCGACCTCGCTGTGCTTCCAGAGCAGTGAACTGGCGGACTGGGCAGGCAAAGCGACCACAGCAGCCTCTACCCAGCCTGAGCCTCAGGCTGCCCTCGCTGCCCCAGCCTCCACCCAGGACCAACCACCTCTGTCCACAAGAACTTTAGGCCCCCCTCCTCCCCCATTGCTTTGCCCGTGTGTCCCAAACCACCTCCCTGTTCACCTTCTGGCCCAGAGCAGTTGAACCAACTTTATGTGCCTTTTGGTATCCTAAGCCAGCAAAAGAACAGACCAAACCTTTTCCATACCAAAATGCCAGGCCACCTTTGGGGTGTCTCCAAAAGTGGGTAGTTTACCTCCCTTCCCCCAAAGGGGAGACATTAAAATTCCTTGTGCCATGCAGAGAGAGAGAGAGTGAGAGTGAGAGCGAGCGCGAGCAGTTAAGGAAGAATAAAGTTTGTAACTGGAGCTAATTATTATGAGCCATTAAAGAACATTTCTGTGATTTAATTTTGCCTCTCTTGGTGATCGCTCATTTTTCTTTGCCTCTTACCATTATAGGTACCAGTGTGCTACTACAGCGAAGTGAACAAAAGCTTGGGAGAAGTGAAATTCAGCTCCTCATTTCTGATAATCAGGGCCTCCATTGCCCTGAAAAGCAGACCCTTAAACTCACAGTTTGCAAGTGCCTGCACGGCAGTGCCTGTGTGGAAGGGCTGAGCGAGGGCTACATTGGCCTGGGGCCCGCAGCAATCGCCCTGATAATTTTGGCTCTTTTGCTCTTGTTACGTAAGTATTTTTAAAGCCACTCTTTGGCTCTTCTAGTAATTAAGGGGAGTGATTGATTTCTTTACAGTTGTTCCTCCCCCCACTAGAGTACTTGAGGGTGAAAAGGAAACAAGAATTGATCATAGATAAATTCATCAACGTTGATTATAGCACTCCTCCGAACTTTGTTATAAAGGTGTATTACTTCCTGATTTAGATAACCAAGGTTATCATGCGTGATCTTCAGCTGCCTTTTAACATAGACCTTGTTGGAGTCCCCCTTTTTTTTCTTTTTTTTAATTGATTGCTTTTAGAGAAAGAGAAAAAAGGGAGAAGTCAAGAGAGAGGGAAAGAGAAACATCAGTTTGCTTTTTACTTATTTATTTATGCATTCATTGATTGCTTCTTGTATGTGCTTTGACCAGAGATCAAACCTACAACCTTGGCATATCAGGACAATGCTCTAACCAGCTGAGCTACCTGGCCAGGGATTAATTTTTTTTTTATTTAAGAAAAAATTTTGACCCTGGTTAGTGTGGCTTAGTAGACTGAGCACCAGCCTGTGGACCAAAGGGTTGCTGGTTTGATTCTTAGTTGGAGCACATGCCTGGGTTGTGGGCCAGGTCCCCGGTTGGGAGTGCACAAGAGGCAACTGCACATCGATGTTTCTCTCTCTTTCTTTCTCCCTTTCTTTAAAAATAAAACAAAATCATTTTAAAAAATTAAAAAATAAATTTTTAAGTTACAGTCTACATTTGGTAATATTTTGTATTGGTTTCAAGTGGACAGCATAGTGGTTATATAATTGCACACTTTACAAAGTGTTCCTCCCTGGCATTTCCAGCACCCAGCTGGCACACGCATAGTTATTACAATATTATTGAATCTGTTTCCTATGCTATACTTTACATCGCCATGATTATTTTGTCACTCCCATTCTGTACTTCTCGGTCCCTTCCCCTTTTTGACCCAGTCCCCCACCCCTCCTCCCCTCTGGCAACCATCAGTCTGTTCTCCGTGTCTACGAGTCTGTTTCTGTTTTGTTCACTCATTTATATTCTTTAGATTCCACATATAAGTGACATCATGTGGTATTTGTCTTCCTCTGACTGACTGATTTCATTTGATCTGTGTCCGCATTTTGATAACCTCTGTGAGGGAGGGATGTTGTCTCTTCACTGCCCAGTGCCTAGAACAAGCCTTGCCCACAAGAGGCTCTCAGACCAGATTTGCTGCATGAATTTGGATTATGGATACAACGTTCTTTTATAAACTCATCCTATGTTTATTGATCTTTGCTTTGCACTTTCAACTTGTCAGAGCCCCACCCCTTCCATACACCATGTTTGGCTTGCCCTTCACCTGAGCCAGCAGTAGTGAGACCTCGGAGCACGTCTGTGCTCCCTGACAGTGACAGCCAGTCCTGCCTGCCCTGCACATCCTCCAAAGACGAGTTTCTTTTCATGAAAGAACAAAAGATTGCAGCCTGGGGTCATGTGGCCAACACTCCACTTGACCACTGAACACGGGCAGAGGACCATCTTCGAGGCAGCCCTGGCTATTTCAGTGACAGAGGAGGAGCTGCCCAGTGCCATCGGCAGACGTGCAATTGAATGCACGGCACTCAACAGTTTACAGAGTACTTTTATACCATTGTCTCTCTGTTACGATACAGACACAGCACAGTAAATGACTTGTCTCAGCTTCCAAGCTCGTGGAGAGGTCCTGGAGCTGAGACTGCATCTTCAGTGTGGGGATTCCTTGCACCACCTTCTCATCTCACATTCCCCAGGGTCTTTTGGATGCTTGTCGCATGGTACACACTTGATAAATATTTGTTGAATTTGTACAAATGTTGAATTGCCACTGGCTGATTTCAGTCTTTTTATTACTCACAGTAGCTATGTCTATATCATCAACTATTTTATATAAAAAGAGTCTAGGGAGTAGTCACTTCATCATTGGAAGCTGCCAAATGGCAGTGGCAATACCACCTATTGTAATTTGGGGTGGACTGCTTGCAAGGTGTAGCTAATTCTTTACTACCCTGATCAAGAGGCCAACAGTGGCCTTCACTTCCTCCTGGAGGTAGAATAAAATTTAAGGGGGGAGCTCTGAAATTAGATTGAATTCTAGGTCTATTCTAAGGGTTTTAATGTAGAATCATTTTTATAAAATAGTTAGCTTGAACCTCAGTGAGCCTGCCCTTTGCCAAAATCTACTCTAGGATGAACTGGTGAAGAATAGAAGTTCCAATGTATTTGAACATGTGAAAATGTTTCTACCCGTAGGAGTTTTTGATTATTTTTAACACGTAGGTATTTTTTTAGATAGTGAATATTCTCATATTGAAAATTAAAGTGGTTTAAAAGAACAAAAAATTCAAGTCTTTCAGTTGGTTTTGATGATTTAGGTACTATTGAATTCAGTCTTGGTGTTCCACTCAGTAACCACACTCAGCCTCTTTACAAGGGACAAGGCCTCTGAATCGGTACAACTCCCTCATCCTGCCTGTAGACTTTGGTATGACCCTCCAGACAAGCTTGGTGAGGTTGGATCTTGGATCAGGGTGAAGAAAAGAAAAACAAAAATAGGCTGTAAGTAAGTGAAGGCTGAACTCCAGGGAGTGATATACAAATTCCAAAATTATATAACATGAATTTTAAAATAAGTTGGGACCCACCTTTTATTTGTTTTTAATTTTGTTTCTGTCCAGTTGTACCACTTCTGCTGCTGACGTGCCATCATGGACAGGGCGCCAAAGGCTTTGCCCCCATTCCTGCCACCATAGAGATGCTGCATCCTTGGAATAATGAAGGGGCACCCCCTGAAGACAAGGTCAGATAATCAGATTACGTTGGAACTTGTCTCCTCTTCTGATTTTAAAGGGGCCTTGGGAAGCGTTTCTGACGTTCTACGTCATGAGAGAGTAGAGTGGGCCTTACAGATTTCATTCACATGCCTTTGAATGAAGCATATTCTGTGCTCATTGTCAGGGCAGAGTTGAGGTGGTTTTGCTGTAGTGTGACAGGTCTGGTGTTACAGAGAATTCAGAACAAAGGTTAGAGAGAGCAAGAGTATGTAGAGACTTAGGATGAAAATATTTATTATTAACAATATTAAATGGGCAGTATTTCATGAGATGTTTCTGCATTTCCATTTCCCTTAATACTAGGGTTGGCAGAGGTAAGCCCACCACCCCGTAGCAGTTGAGGAAGATTGCAAAATCCCCTCTTGTACCTACTTAACCACCACCTCCCATTGCCTCTTTATTGCATCTTCACCCCGGGTCACTCATCACCCTCTGTGGTGAACATCATATCTAATAGGATAGGATTCAGCATCAAGTGTCAGAGAACTCAGAATAACAGTGGCTTAAATATAAATGTGGGCGGTCCAAGACCAGCGTGATGATTTCATATGGCCTTTTTGTTCCTCCATGGATGAGTTCCATTCTCTTTTGTCTTCATGCTCCTGTCACTTGCTGCTGTCCCCACCTTCCAAAAAGCAGATAGAAGAAAAGTAAAGAACCACTCTTAAAGAATGCTATCCCGATGGAGTGCATGCATACTCCATTTCTGCTCTGCTTGAACTCACATTAACCAGAAATTAGTTGAGTGGCAATTTCTAGTCACATTGGAGGCTTAAAAGTATAGTTTATGTTTGGGATGACCACGTGTCCAATTAGGCAAAAAATAATGCTTCTGTAATCATAAAGAAAATACTAAACTTCAGGAGAAAGTTGAAATACAGTTGGTGCCAATAGAATAAATGAGCAGAGTCCGTATTTAAATAACTTGTCTTGTATGAAAATCTAACAACACAAGCAGGTAGAATGGCTCTTGAAGACTCAGACAGAAGCTAGTCCACCCAAAATAGTTTTCCTAATTTATTCTGTGGAAACGGCTTATTCCCCTCATACGCCCACTTAGCTCAGATCCTACCAACGGTGCTGACCCTTCCTCCTTCTGGCTCAGTTCTCAACTGTCCTTGCCTTCACAGGTGGTGCCACCACTTCTGACAGTGGATCACAGAGAGAATTTAGGAGTGGGCAGTGGAGCAGGAGGTGGAGTAGGAGGTGGTGCAGGAGGTGGCATAGGAAGTTTAACAGTCAAGGAAACCACCACGAAAGGAAGTAGCTCAGCGTCCTTTACCAGAGTGCAGCATGACATGTCCGAGGTGGACGGAAGGTGGGAAGAACACAGAAGCCACCTTGCTGGGGGTGCCACCCACGTTACAGGGGCAGCAGGAGCCATCATAGGCAGTGAAACCTTAAGGACCACGAGAACCACGGGGACTTTCAGAGACATGGCTGGAGCTCGAGCAGCTGCTTCTGCAGTGAATGAGGAATTCTTAAGAAGTTATTTCATTGAGGTAAGGGTTGGTTTCTAGGTACAAGGGGAAAAAACATATGGGAATGTGGTAATATTAGGGTGATCATTTCCTTGGATCTAGGTGGGACTTTGGGTTTTGTCTGTTTTGTTTTGTTTTTAAGAGAATGCTTACAGGTAATGAGGGAAGAGAGACAGGACTCAATGAACCTGTCAGCTAAATTATGTGATGATGACAAATGACCCCACAGCCTTACTTCTCACAAAAGCTTTTTCTCACATTTATGTTTTTGCCACTTAATGCGTCTCTGCTCTTCATTCCAAGACGCCAAGAGAGCAGATTGTACCTGGGAATCTGCCATCCTTGGAGCACAGGGAACATAGCAACACAGAACCTTGCAAGGGCTCCTAAAGGCGCTGCCTTTTTTGCACTCAGATTTCATTGGCCAGAACAAGTCACATGACCAAGCCAGATAGCAGTGGGGCAGAAAGTACAGTCCCTCCGCAGGAGCAGACTTTGCATATGTGACCTGAAAAACACAATCTGTCTTGTCTATTTACATGTCGTCTTCTGAATGAGAGCACTTGGCTTCACTATTGAGGTGGTTCACAAAAAAATTAGGAGGAAAGTTGCAGGAAAGATGATCATACAGTCAGGAAGCTCACGTCCGTAATTAGGAATTAGAAGCAGAACTGGGTGCCTTTCTTGAGAACGAAGCCCAGCTGTCCCATGGGCAGAGTCGGAGTGTCAGGCGGCTGAAGGGCACTTGCGAGAAGTAAGGCGACGGGCTTTCGTGGAGGCCAACTTATTTCTGTCCTCTTCCTTCTACATAGTTACAAATTACTGGAGTGCTTTTCCACTGTCTTTTTCCTTCCACAACCCTCTCTTTCATGCCATCTGCCCACCCCGAAGTATTAACTCGAAGGTGAGAAAGGGATATGCAGTGCCAAGGAAAACCGTTTATTATTGTCCCTTTTCTGCTTCACTGCCAAGCTCCAGTTTGGTGCCCTCTTTTATTTTGATCTGTTCTTCCTCTCTGCTCTAATCCTGCTCTAGTCGGCCTTGGTTATGTATGTGTGTGCAGCTTTCAATTCAGAAATCATTTCAAACTGATCAGAAAATTTGCAAGAAGAAGAGAAATTTTGAACTCCTGCATACTCTTTGCCCAGACTACCCAATTATTAACACTTAGCCACATTTGTCCCATTCTCTCTTTCTCTGTCTCATGCATGCACTAGCACATGCTCTTACATTATCACAGGACATTAGGCAAACTTAGAGACTTAACAGGGACACATTCCAAATTGCCATTTGCTCAGTTATCCACCGTGATGTCTTTTATAGCGATTGTTTTTCCTGTCCAGGGTCCAATCCAGAGTCCTGCATCCCATTCAGTTGTCATGACATTCTAATCTCCTTTAATCTGTATCAGTCCCCTCTGCTTTTCTTATCTCTCACGATATTAATATTTTTAAGGGTACTGGCCAGTTGTGTTGTGGAATGTCCTTCAGTTTGGGTTTCTCTGATGCCTCCTTGCATTTAGACTCAGGCTATGCATTTTGGGCAGGAAGATAGTCTTGTTCTTAAATGAAGTGGTGTCACCAATTATATAACTCTGTTTTCATTTCCATTTTAGAAAGCTGCCCGTTGCACTGAGGAAGATGACAATCACACCTCCAAAGATTGCCTTCTGGTTTATTCTCAGGAAGAAACTGAATCTCTACACGGTTCCATTGGTTGTTGCAGTTTTATTGAAGGAGAGCTAGATGACCACTTCTTGAATGACTTAGGCTTTAAATTCAAGACGCTAGCTGAAGTTTGCTTGGGTCAAAAAATAGATATGGATATGGAAATTGAGCAGAGGTCGCAACCTGTGAGAGAGACAGCTTCCCATTCACTCTCCAAGCAAACGAGAGTTAACTCAGAGAATACCTACTCCTCTGGTAGTAGCTTTCAAGTTCCAGAATATTTGCATGAATCAAATGCAGAGCAAATGACTCAGGAAGTAGTCACTGAAAGGTCTGTGTCTTCTAAGCAGAATCAAAAGGTAGCTACACCACTCCCTAATCCATTGGCGTCTGGTAATGTCATAGTGACAGAAACCTTTGCCACAGGCTCCACTGTGCCACCACCAAGCACTGTGATCCTGGGCCCCAGACAGCCACAGGGCCTTATTGTGACTGAGCGGGTCTATGCCCCAGCTGCTACCTTGATAGATCAGCATTATGCTAATGAAGGTAATGTCACGGTTACCAAGAGAGTTATAGAGCCTAATGGGGGCCTGTCTGGTCCTCGGGAAGGCACCCCACACCTGCCAGATGGGCATTATGTTATGGTGAGGGAAAGAGAGAGCTTCCTTACCTCCAGCTCAGGTGCGCAGCCCAATCTGGCCACGCCCAGTGCAGCAGCAGGTCAGAATGTGACAGTGACCGAAAGAGTGCTAACACCTGCTTCCACCCTGCAGTCCAGTTACCCAGCTGCTGCGGAAACCTCCGTGGAGGCCAGAAAGACTGTGGTTTCTGGAGCTGGAGTCCCTGGCCCTCTGTCAAATTTGGGTTTCAGGGAGTCTGGTCACTCTAGCTCTACTGTAACCACATCGTCCACCAGAGTCTCCAAGCATAGCACAGTGCAGCATTCTTACTCCTAAACGGTCAGCCACAGTCTGACCCGGAGTTTAACGAGCAGTGAGTGAGTTCATGTTTTCAATGGATCTGCCTTTTGTTGAGGCTTACAGACATGAAAGGTACATACACAGAAGTAAAACTTTCTCAGTCACCAATAGACAATGGGCCTTGCTATCTCAGCATCCGGAAGCGTGCTTCAGAAATGCGCTCAGACTTCCCGAGGGCATAACCATAATGCTCTCAAGTGCCTTTTAGTGAGTTGCGGCCAAACAATATTCACGAAACAAGTTAAATAGAGAGTAAACCTGGCTTCTGAGAATTTACCAAATTAATACAGCATCCAGTTCATCAGCTGTACAGTAGAGCCATCCATGAAACCAGCCGGGCCTGTGCATACCATGTTGACATTTACCATTGCTGTTCTATAGCCCATACTTGACTACCCCTAGCATATTGTCAACACTCATTTATCCAAAGATAAATATACAGCGTGGGTGACCAGTTTTGCTTGTTTTCCTTAAGACCAGAGAGGCCTTTCAATCTGTTAGGGTGATGTAATTTTGGAACACTGACGTGGTAAAAACATATGGTTCTGTGCACATAACTGTGTGTCTGTGTGTGTGTGTGTGTGTGTGTGTGTGTGGTTTATCCTTAAAAATGACATTGTATTGTCTCTTTGTCTCTCAATAATGAAAATATTAAATACTTCCAATTCAGTTGAATCCAGGGAAAAATTCATAAATATAAAATCACTTTACTTTTTGTAATAATAATATACTATTTATAAAACCTCAGGATATATTGTATTTTAATTTTGTACAGCTAAATTAACCAGCAGACTATGTACACTGTGAGAAGAACCATGCTTGCTTCAGTCCTCCTCAGTGCCTGACATGGGTGTGAAATCAATATTTGTGTAAACTAGATTTTAGAAGCCTCTCTATTTACAATTTCAAAATATTAAAAGACCTTATCATTTCTATAATGATGAGTTTGAAATTATGATTTTATTCTATGCCTCAAAGTCATTGACTGGCTGGTCATGACTTAAATATATAATTGGCATGAATTTATATAACATCCTTGCCCCTTTTTCAAAAGTGGTTTGAGTGTTTTGACCAAATAAATAGATCGTATTTCTGATGCTCCTTGAAAAAATAATTTATTTCAAGTTGCAAAGTATATGTGCCTCTGAGTAACAATTTATATAAATATTCACAACAAAATAATTTTCATAAATTTTAAATACTATGTAATTTTGTGATTTTTCAAAATATTTTGCTTAGGGAATTGAATCTTTAAAAATTTATTTTTGTAACATTTATGGAAGTATTGTAGACTTGAATTGTGTAATGCAAATATTGATACTTTTTTGCTCCCACTGATTGTGTATGAATAAAAGGCAAATATTTTTAGATGCCGTAAGTCCGTGGCCAAAATAAAAGTCCTTCCAGGATCTAAATTTTTTTACTTTCTACTTATGTAAATGTTGGGTTTATTTTTCAGTATAGACTTAGTAGTTACATTTTGCCAAGTATGCAACAGGAAAACCACTACTGTGTGAAATGTGAAAATGACCTAAGTACTTCAAACAAACAAAACTTGATCTTAAACTTCCTGGAGCAATCTTGAAAGCTGAAGCCTGTCACATGTGTATAGTGTAATCACATTTCCTAAATGGTTTTCTTTGTTCCCAAAAGGATGATTTGTATTAGTTTTTACATTTGTTCCTTGGAAAAATATATTTGTATGTGTGTCATCAAAATATTTAAATTAAAAAAATGACCTTTAGAGCAACTCATTGCCCATATCTTTTTATTGCCCCGTGCTATTTCACAAGGAATGCCGCTGATGGGTACAGGTGAGGTAGCGCCCTGCAGGCAGGCGCCGGTTGGATGTGGGTGTTTCAGTTAGAACTGCACGTCCAGCTCAACCAGCCCCTACGGAGAAGCGCATTTCCCTTCCTAAGATAGAACACAAAAAAGCCCAGTTAAATTTGAGTTTCAGATCAATATTGAGTAGGGTTTTTTAGTGTAAGTACTTCCCTTAGTGAAGAATTATCTGTTATCTGAAATTCACATTTAACTGGGTGCTCTATTTCTATTTGCTAAGCCTGCCAACTTCAGTCCCTGAGGGACTGAAGTTGGCTTTCAGTCCGGAAAGTAAGACAGGAGGTACCTGTAGGATTGGCTGAAGCTTGCACATCTGAGCCAAAGAGATGAAATCATGAAATTCAACCAGTGTTTGAAGGGCCATTTTAGCTGCTTGTAGTTTACAAGGGAAAGGACCAACGTTTCCGCCTATACTAGAATGTCATTTAATAAATATTTTACAACACAGGCACAACGAGACACATCCTAAAATGTGAAGACAATGTTATATTTCTGTGACCTCAGGGCTCCCTCCACAAGTGGCACACAGGAGCAACCTTTGGTTGATTTCATGAATCTGCAGACCATATTTCAATCGTCACTACATCGAAATTTATACAAGAAAGCATTGTTTATCCAGTATCACCTAGAAATCAGGTATTTCAGATAACTTTCAGATCATTAACTCTTTAACATATCAAAATTCCTTGGTTTCACCATTTTAGTGTAGTTCAAATTCTATCATTACTGATTGTCTTATCTACTTTTTTTTTATTAAAGAGGGATGTTAAAATCTCCAACTGATTGTGGCTTTGCCCATTTTTCCATTAATCTTTTTCAACTGTTCTCTGTGTTTTGAAACATACCTGTGTGACTAGGTACAAACACATTTAGGATTATTGTGCATCCCCCCAGAATTGACCTTTTCATCATTACGTAATGACTCCATCTCTGGTTCTACTCTTTGTGTTGAAATCAGTATCACCACACTGGCTTTCTCAGGCTTAGTGTTTGAATATCTGATCCTTTTGCTCTCAGCCTGTCTATGCCTTTAGAATGTGTTCCTTGTAAATACCTAGAGAGGTCTTGTTTTCTCATCCATTTGAACAGTCTCTCATGTTTAATGGAAGGTTTTAATCTACTTACAGCAGCTATTCCATGGGTGAGTCTAAACCTACCTTCTTGGTCTTTGTTTTCTCTTGGTTCCATCTGTTTCTTCATTTCTCTGCTCCTTTGCTGCCTTCCTTTGTGTGCTGCGTGTTCCAGGATTCCACCCTAACTCCTCCACTGACCTTTTAACTCTACCTCCTCGTGTTTATCTTTTAACTGGTTGTTCTTCTTATGGAAATGTGATCAAGAACAAAATCTCCTGCCCACCTAGAAAGACTACACAAAGAACAGAAAGAAAACAATTTTACTATTGAATAAACATTAAGCCAGAATGATATGTGCTTCACAGACAGCTCATAAAGAAATGGCGAAAACGAACATCTCACCTTTTTATATAGTTAGGCAGATACAACCATTGCATACCTGCTCATGAGATCGTGAGAACTTGTCCTCAAGCAAAACTTGCCAGCACCACACCTTAGCTCATCTTCAGTGCACCTGGTCACTGAGGCAGTCATTGTGTTTGCTGACGGCCTCTAGCCAATGATGAAACTTCTACTATCTCTATGGCAGGAGGCTGGTTACAATTTGGACCCAGGCACCCATGAAGAAGAGACGGGGTGCTAGCTTGATGTTCAAAGAGATGAGCCCCAGGTCCTTGAGAAAGATGTTCTGTCTTGTAAAGCTGGCAGTTTTAAAAAGATGTATGTGCCATCTGAAAGGGGCAGAGAAAGAATTGATAGCGTTCTTGTTTTGTTTTTAAGAAAATGTTCGAAGGAGGGGGAGGGAAATTCTCCCTTTTTCACCAGGAAAAAAAATCAATTTTTTCTATTTTAGATTTGTTCTTATATTCAAAGGTAGTGATTTTCTATTTTTTTCATCTCATGGCATACATAAACTAATTATTAAAATTCTGTAGCACAGAAAAAAATATATATATTTGCCATTCTGACAAAAAAATAGGTATAATTTTTATTTGTTCACACTGATGGCTATTGTGTTGGCTGTTGTCATTTTTTTTATTTGACAATCTAAGGGAAAAGAGGTCAGTGTCCCTAACTAAATAGGTATTGCAGGCTTTCAAAAGTCTTGTAGCACACTGGTTGAAAATCGCTGTTCTACAGCTACGTTTTTTTCTATGTGGTAATCTATGATATGTGATATCATAGTCTACCTTTACATACTCTACTACTTCATCAAAAATGTGCATAAATCTTGAACTTCTGCTTTGTGGAACTTGCAGTATCATTAGATCCCTGACCTGCACACCCATATTCTCAGCGAGCAGCCCTCAAATGCCGCCTCCTGTCCCCTACACCTTCCATCACACTCCCCACCCCAATGACTTTAGTGCATTATTGACACGAATATTCTGAAACCTGTATCAAGTCCAGTTGTGAGAAGAAATGGACTCTTACTGTTCCACAGGTAACAGACCCCCACCAACCCAGGAGCCAAGTTGGGAAAACGAGAAGAGGAATGTGGACCTCTGCTAAAAATCCAGATAGGCCCTGGGCTCCAGGTGGCCCCTGTGCCTCTTCGTGTCCACTCCCCACGTTTTTTCACCCCGCTCCCAGACTCAGGAGCTAGTCCTTTACTGGGTGTTTCAACAGGCATCCGCACCCTCGGGCCTCTAGCTGGGCTTGGCCAGTGGGAGGCCTTGGCTGGAGACTGGCAAGAAAGAGAAAATTAAGGTCGGGGCATTTCTTCTCTTGTGTCTCTCTCCACGGGCATCTCCGTGAACAGCAGCTCCCCGCTGAGTTCCAGGTCCTCCTGGCCCTCCACCTGGAGGCCTGTCGGTGGTGACTGCCCCCTCCCCCCGTCCCGACGGCTGCCAGCCTCGGAGTCCAGGACCACCCCTTGGGCTCAGCTTTGGTAAATGATCCACTAAACTCTCCTCACTTCCACCTGCCTCCCCTGCACCGTCACTGACACCAGCGTTCAGCTTCTAAATAATGAATCATTTTTACAAAGCGTAAGAACTCCCCTCTTAAAAATCCCACTGTAGTAGACCCTGGCCAGTGTGGCTTAGCTGATTGGGCATCATCCCACAAACCAAAAGGTGCCCCGTTCAATCCCTGGTCAGGGCACATGCTGGGGTTACAGGTTCGGTGCTTGGTCCAGGAGTGTACTGAAGGCAACCCATCGATGTTTCTTACATCAATGTTTCTCTCCCTCCCTCCCTTCTCCTTTCTCTAAAATCAAAAATAAAATTAAAATTTTTTAAAAACCCTACTGTGTTAATTTGCTCTGGCTGCCATACAAAGTATCACAGACTGGAAGGCTCAAACAAGACATTTACTTTCTTATCTTTCTAGAGACTAGAATTTGAAGTTTAAGTGTTGACAGAGTTGGTTTCTTCTGAGGCTTCTCTCCTTGGCTTGTAGATAGCCATTTTCCCCAGTATCTTCACACAGCCTTCCTTCTGTAGTAATTTATATCTAATTTCCTCTTCCATCCTGACAACCTCATTTTAACTTAATTACCTCTGTAAAGAACTTATCTCCAAATATAGTCAGATTCTGACATACGTGGTGGTTACAATTTCAACTCATAACTTTGAGGAAACACAGCTCAGCCCATCACAAATACCTAGTAAACAAACAGACTTAGCTTGAAAAGCTGTACTACATTTTTCCCTGCAAAAGTCATGAATTTCTTTATCCAACTCTTTGGTTAATTAATAACACAAATTACTTTTCACAGTAATCAAATTTAAGCCTGGGTTGAAAGTAGCCTGAATGAAGAGACTGTAGCTCCAATGAGCCCTTAGAGGAATCACAAAGGTAATCAAAGCAAAAGCATACCGGGTTGCGTGGTTTCTAAATGGCAGACCCGAGGACTGTTGGCAGCAGCTAAGGTTCCCAGCTCAGTGGCAAGGGCCACATGCTTCATGTTGCTTCTACATTTCCTGAGAGACTTTGTGGCACATGCACAACAAAGCCTCTTCAAATACGCTGGGGGGAACCTAATGATTCTCTCCTTTGCAAGCCTTTCTAAGGATTACTTTTTTTTCCCCCTCTTACTTGTTTCTGAGGCTTCTATTCATACCACAGTGGTGCTTCCTGGCTTTCTTTTGTACTATACATTTAAGTCAGTATAAATTATTCTTGCTCTATCTTCCCTTCTAGTTAAAAAAAAAAAAAGTTGATTCAAAGATCTTAAAATAAAATATATCGATCTGCTTCTTCATTATGACTTCTGTTGTAATGTCTGTAATTCACTCCAAAATCACTTCACTAGAATGTGTGTGATAAACACTTACACAAGTCAATTCTAATTTATTCTCTACAAGTAGTTAGTGTTTGAAGAATTCTAATCAGAAATCAACACCGCAGGGATGTTTACTTAGCCTTTCAAATATCATTATCCAAATCCATATCTGAAGGTTTGCTAATTAGCATCAGGGATAGAAATAATTCTTCATGGATGAGTTAGTGGTTTTGAGACGAGTGATCGCTTAGGCATCGGGTACGGCCCCCACTGCACTTCCACGCACGAGGAGTGAGAACGTGGCAGGCCCACTAGTCGAAGTGCTCCTGTGAGGCGCTCAGCATCAGGGGCTCATCAGCCCTGTGTCCCTCTGGAGCCTCCTGCCATCTGACCGACCACCGCACTGGCTCCTCCTGTCACCTGAGCTTGACTCCATCTGCCTCAGAAAGGACCCCTCATCGGCTGCTGGTCAGAAGGGACCCGTGCAAGATGAAAATGCCCTGAGGTACAAAATCAGGCTGTAGGGCTGCTTTGGTGCCTGTCTGCTAATAAATGTACATTTTGTGAAATTGATTTATTATTTGCTTGTTTT